AATTCCGTTAATATTTCGTCGATTTCGTTATCCAAATCCTCGCATTCTTCTAACTGAAATCATAATAAATAATAAATAATATAAATAACAATAATAAATAATAATAAACAATAATAATTAATAATAACAACAAATAACCAATCCATAAACAATCAAAATAACAACTCAAAAACTCCCCATCACAAAACTAATGCCCTCACCCGGAATCGAACCCTCCCCCCACCGCCAATCCCATCAAATTTCCCACTGCGCTATTGGCTCACCACTCAAAATCAATTACAATACACAATAAATAATAATAAATAATAATAAATAATAATAATAAATAATAATAAATAATAATAATAAATAATAATAAATAATAAACCCGCCTTCGAGCACAATTCACACACAAATAACGCCCCAATCGTCGCCTCCTCATGATTGTCCTGTATATCAATATTAATCACATGCACACTATCACCGTCATTCGATTCTCGCGTTTGTAAATCTTCCAATATCTATTTTATTTATTTATATACATTACAATTATTATATATAATAATAATAATAAATATAACAATAATTATAATAATATACAATAATAATAAATACATTAATCAAAATAACAAAACTATAATAAATAGTAATCAGAAATACAACAATATAACAATAAATAACAACACTATAAATATTTTAATAATATGGTAATAGAATAATAAATTAAATAGATAAAACATAAATATACCATTAAATACAATAAAAATATAATAATATATAATAATAAATATAATAATAATAAATATAACAATAAATAATAATAATAAATAATAATAAATAATAACCTGATCATAAACCCGCTCCTCCAAACAAATAATCACATCGAATTTCCCCTTAAAGTGCTGAAATTTCTGCGGCATTCCTTTTATACGTCGATTCCTATCCAACATGTTTAATAAACCGTTCTGAGTATATCTTTAATTTTTTTTATTTTTATTATAATAATAATAATTAATAATAATAATAGTAAATGTAAACATAAATATAATAATAATAATAATAATAATAATAATAAATACCACAATTTTAATTTTAATAACAAATATAATAATAACATATAACGATAACAATAATAATAATAAATATATTAATATCATATAATGATAATAAGTATAGCAGTAGCATATAATAAAAATAATAATAATAATAAGTAATATAATAATAAAAATAAACAATAATATAATAAATAATAATAATAATAAATATAATAATAATAATAATAATAAATATAATAATAATAATAATAATAATAAAAACGCACAACTGAGCATCCTTCGCCTTGAGGTCATTATAAATGAAATCATAGGAGGCCACCCCGAACTCGTAACAATTCGGGCGGTCGGGTGTCGGTCCGGGCAGTTTCACCTGACTTCCCGACCCAAACGACTCCACGTTGAAGCCACGTTTCCTTTATTATAATTATACAATAATAAATATAATAATAAATATAATAACAATAATAAATAACAATAATAAATAATAATAACAAATAAAACGCACTGCATAAAACTATGCGCTTCCATACTCCTATTCATATTGCTCGAGCAACTAACTGCAAAACGCAGTTTACCGGTACTCATTATTTGCGGAGGGGGTTAAACCTGGCAGAGGAACTAATTTTAGGTTATTTTTCGAGGAATGACCTGAAATTAGAGAAAATTTTTTAAAATTCTGATCACCTAAAAATAATAATAATAATAAGGATAATAATTTTAAAAATTAAGATGAACAGATAGCACGATAACGTAAACGTAACAATAATATTAAAACAATAAAAATAGACACCAATAACGGCAATATTTAAAAATAGTAACAATAATAATATTAATAAATATAATAATAACAATAATAATAACAATAATAATAATAATAATATATAAAAATAGTAAAATA